TATGTGGGGGTGTGTTAGAACGAGCCGTTTTAGGTAGGCGTGGTTGAATACTTACTTTTATAAAGAATATCTCTTTGGATTTGAGACTTTAGTCTTTGCAACTTTACAGATCTTCTTTATGCACCAAGAGCTTGTAACACTCCAAAGAGAAAGGAACAATTGAAATCGCATCATATGACCCCTTTAACAAAAAAAAATAGGCTTAATTTTCTTTATGCAATTTTTTTCCCCCTCTGATTTTTGGTTGAAATATGAAATATTCATCTCTCAAACATTTAAATCATTAGTTCTACACATCAACTGATGCGGTTTAAATCACTCAATGATCCGTTCGCATCAGTTAACCGCTCACTGGAGGGGAAATGATCAGATTATTACGGTTTTTGAGTGAACCCTTCGTTTAACAGGAAACAGTTAATGTTCACACTGCTCTTCTCACAGACAGAGACGCAGACACATATGTTGGACAGCTCTGTTCGTCTGACAATGACAGAGATCTCCAGGGTGAGACGTGAATGCGGTCCAAACATTAACTGCGTGGTCTATTCAGCTCTTTTCTCACTCCCTGTCCTTTTCACAGCCAAACGCATTCATTTTACTGATGCAAACTAAACTACAAACCTAACCATAGACAACTTGGCCTCCTGCTCTTAATGTTACTGTTTAGGTCACTTTTGCGGTTTAATATCTATAAAGACTTTTGTCCTTCCCTCTCTGGCTCGGCTCCACCCTATCTTCCTTTTCTTTCTCTCACTGCCACATTCACAGTCCAATCACGTGCGAATGCGGCATGGTGGTGCCAGTGCCAGCTTTCTGCCAACCTGCATGTGTATGTGTGTGTCTTTGCCAGCACAAATCATTGGGACATAAGGTCACACACTTGTCATGATCTTAATTATGAGACCACACAGTGATGAAGCTGGAACAAATGTTCAGGAGTTCTAAAATGTTTTCATTTTGAGTTCTACATTTCCAAATGTTGATGTGGTTTGAATTTTGAATAATAAAAAAAACGGTACTAAAAAGGATACACTTTCATTTCGTGTAAATGTGTACACAACGTGAAAAAGATTCAAAGTTTATCGCATACATTTAAGTTCAATTTAGGGCCAGTTAACAAACTCTCTCACTCTCTCTCCATCTCTTTTACTCACTCGTTCCTTTTATTTCTTCTGTCACTCTTCCTCTACTCTCCACCTCACCCAAACCCATAAGCCTGCCGATACCTTATTCAAAAAGCCAGCGAATGGCAGGTTGCTATGGGAACTCGCTGCTTGGCAACTTGCTGGCTTGGCGATGTGCCCATCGGTTGCCAGGACAGTGTTGTCAGTGGCAGCTAAGTGCCGTGCCAGCTGTGTGCGTCTGGATGTGGATCTCTAACGTGTTCGGTTTGATTGTGAGCATAACTGTAAATTATATGTAAAGGGTAAATATGCATTTAACAGCTTTTTTGAGAGTAAAATTATGCCCAAAAATATATATTCATAAAATCCATGTTGAAATTGGAAGTGCTCTATGTTTTTGTCAAAGCAAAGACAGATTTGTATGCAGTGAATCTCACGAAACCATGTCCAAAACATGCCCACATTGTATTTAACACCAAAATCAACACCAAAAAAAATAAGAAACGAGGCATTTCAGCAAATTATTATGATTATTAAAGACATTTTGCACTTTATTTTCCATTGATTTAAATGCAAAAAATCTAATTATGTAGGAAAGAAACATCATGGTATATTATTTGCAGAACTGCCTTTAGTTTATGCAATAAAAATATTTGTATTACACAGTAGGGGTGGGCGATATGACCAAAATCTTATATCACGATATATCTGTTGACGATATATATCGCGATTAGTTGTTTTTGCAGTATTTTGTCATTTTTCAAAATTTTTGATAACATAGAAATTTCACAATTCTTCACCGAAAACTAAACTCATCACCAAAAACTAATACTAGCTTCAATTAAAAAAACAACAACAACAACAACTCAAGCTCAATGAAGACAAGTAAACAGTCAATCATTAAATAAGAATAAGAAACTAATTCCAAGCAATAGCACAAAAAACTAAATAAATAAGAAATGCTACATACATTGTATGAAGTAGTCACAATGTATAAAAACACTGCATATTCTTCACTGTGTAAATTAAATATCTCTTCTTATTAAAGTTACAGAAGTGATTTAGTCAAGAGCAGTGAGAGATTTTCTCTCTTTTGTTGTTTGATTAACATGAATGACAGACAGCAGGAATATTAGACGCATCCAATATTCTGTTACACGTGTTTTCTTTCTCAGCTGTTTGCTTTCACTTAAAGGTGCAGTAGGAGATCCTGGAAAATGCTAACTTTAGCCTGATAGCACTGAAAGCGAATGTCCCACCCTCCCTGCAATTTGCCGTCCAAAGCCATGCCTCCTGAACGCATATACGCACACATATCAGATGATCAGAGACAACATTACTACAATACATCATGTGTTATCCACCAGTGAGAAAACTTTATAGCACAGTTACAAAAGTACTACAATACCAGGAAGGAAGATCAGGCTGTTGATGTTTGCCTGCCATTCTGAACGCGCTGATGACGTATCCTGTCTGCGCGAACCGGGTGCGCAGAAGTATGCAAATACATATGTTGACAGGCAGGTTGGAAAGTCAATCAAAACGCTCGTTCTGAGCGTTTTGATTGGACGAACATTTCTTGGTCCTGCACCTTCCACAGAATATATAAATACAGATAAATACATTTAGACTTAACTAAATGATTGCTATCGGGATGTGAAGAGACTTTCAACCAGCAAAACAACTAATTTTTCTGGAGACAATCACCTATTGCACCTTTACGACCTAAATTACTGTTTATGAGGATACTTGCAAAGATGGGCATTTTGACACAAACAAGTGTGTGTATTTAACTGTTCAAGACCTATAAAGCAGCAAAAATAACTCAGTTCAATACTCCTGAGCACCCACCCCTACAGCACAGTATTAGAGTACTTAAAAGTATCATTATTGAAAATAATGATTTTTTTTTTAAGTCAAACATCCTAAAAATTTGGAGTTTAATTGTCATGAAGATATAAACAAAAAATAGACTTCATTTTCATATATATAATTTTTTTTCTCTCTGATCTTGTGGTGAAATATGACCATGTTTTAACAGATTCCGAGCCTCCAATATTCAAATCATTACTTCTAAACATCAAAGAAACATGAAATGTTGGAAATCCCCTTCAGTCATAATGTATGACTGAGAGGTCAAGATATAAAAGCAAAGAATGAAAAAGAAAGTGATTTTCAATATTACCGTACATGCTGAAATTCTTTCCATCATTCCAGTCTTGGGGAAGGAATAACATGGATGATTCCAAACTGTAGTTCCACAGCATTCCTGCCATCAGAAAAGACATGAATTATCAATGGATATCTGTATTGAAAGATTTACAGGATAAGGACTTGGCTACAATTTTTTTTATTTATTTTTTGCTTTACACAAAACTTTAATGACATTTGTCATATCTTAACTAGGTTTGCCTCTTAAAAAGGCAATAAAATGACAAATTGTTCTGAATGACACATTACAGCCACAGATTGATCAACCTGTCTGTCTAAAATGTTAATCAATGTTCACTAATTGTGGATGTTCAATGCAGCAGGATTTACTTTAGATGCTATTATCAGTGTACATTGTCAGGTAGTACTTCCATTGTATATAAGTGCTCCTTGACTAATGTAGAGAGATATAATCGGTAAGCAGAAATTTGAAACGAGGTACACGTCTGTTGATGAAAAAGTCTATAAGTTAAGAGCTGCACTTATCCTGAATTAATACAAATGCATATGTGGCGCACACACACTATCCATTCTTACACTGAACAATACAAGCTAATAAATTCAGACTCTCATATATCTGAATAGTAAGAACGGCAGATGACATATTGCCAAAAAAAATCTATGAACATCTTGGCTACATGAATAAAACAACACACAAAAAAGTGAAAGTGCGAAATTAATATCTTTAATTTAATTCTAAAGCACTTTTTTTAACTACTTTTAAAGTAGCATTAAAAACCCCACAGTAAGCAAGTCAAAGGTGACAGTGACAAGGAAAAACTCCTTAAGATGTACTGTATGTAGAGAAAAGGTCCTTTACAGAAGATTTATTATATTTATCACACTATATGTACCTTGGAAATATATTGAAAACACTATTGAAATGAGTCAATGTGATGAGTGATGTGATGTGTTGAAAGGTCATGACCAGCTTTTTGAGTATTTAAGAATGTTTTTATGAAATTCACATGGAAGAATATATGGTCATATTGTAACTATTATACCTACATCTATAAACCTGAATATTCTGTTGATACATTTTTACAGATTAATCTTGAGCAGTACTACTACAATTTTTCCCCATTCAATTTTTTAAGCCTGAAGTAATTGCATCATGTTACTTTTATTTGCACCACGGTACTAAATGGTCACCATATTCATTTACCATGCTATTTAGATGGTCCTCCAAGACATTTCAACATTTCCATGGCATTTTAAGTATGAAAAATGTACATTCTATTATTATTTTAAATCCATTTTAGCTTGTTTAAATAATAATCTATCAACCTGAATAAAATATTGATCAATTTAATCAAATGATGTTGAACATAAATAATAAAAAAAATAAAGATTTAAAAACGATAACTATACCTCTCATGACTTTTATTTTGTAATATTTACTGTATTATATAGAAAACGCCTTTGACACATACACACAAATACTCTCTCAAAACGCCATTCTATTTTTATAATACTCACAAATTATACCAAAAAGTCTTGTTTTTTTTTAAATCGCAGAGCATTTTTCTTATAAAAGAGGCTCTTCAGAGGTTTTCAAGGGACTGCGGCTTTAATTGTGTCACTTGTCAGGTCCTCCTCAATTCATTCTTTCAGGACAGTGATCAATATGGCATCTGCGCCTCCAGTCTACATCATTACACAGCCTGGAGCGAGTGTGTGTGTGTTTCTCTGTGTGTCTTCAAACTCTTTTTACTCCTAATTAGTGCTGCGTTTTGAATGAAAACCTATGTTTAAGGATGATTGTAATTAATGATAAAAACCTTTTATGTCTTTTGTATTTGAGTTGGAGTGATGTGACTTGTTTATGGCGTGCGAGGCTGAGTGTGTGTTGGCAGTGGTCTGAGCAGTCTGTGTGTCCTTGTGTTTGCACAATGCGGCAGAGGGCGGAGAGCTAAATCAATAAGAAACAAATGAATTCAGATCAATATTGAGTCGAGTGATGGATAAAAGGGGATGAAGGAGAGAAAGACTGACAGAGGGCGAGAGAAAACGGGAGAGAGGGAGAAAACGTACAAAGAGCCTCTTAGCCTCACTAATGCACTAATGCAACGTTAAGAACATTTAGACTGGACTTTTGAGTTTTATTTATTTTAAAAGTCTGCTTTACGAGTATTTATGGGCTAAAAGGTGGCATTTCATATAAATGACTATACCTAAATTTGTCATTTTTGTAATACATTTAATTCTCCAAAAAGGTAGGTAATGGGGAAGCCAGGATCTGAGCTGGTTATTCTCTTTGGTATCATCCTTAAAAGAATTCACCATGGTAACCATAATTTTCCACAAAAATGCCCTAGTAACATCAATTATCATTAGTACTGTAAAGCATATCCATACAAAATGAATACTGTGGCATCACCATGGGATCAGATGGTAATACCATGGTACTTTGATATGACAATACTGAATTGTCAGCATATATTCATTTGAAGTACTATGGCATTTAGGTAGCAATTCAGTAAATACTATGGTCCTTTAAAATAAAAAAGAATTATGGTAATCTGTTATAAAAAAAAATCTTGTTTTATTTTGATTTAGTGATTATTGTATTTCGGCAATTAAACACTGTTAATTTTTGCAAAGACTGAACATGATGCTTAACATTAAAATACATTCCAAAAACGCTATTTCAATCTTTTTTCTGCTGATAGTCAGTAGGATTTTTTACATGTTTTTGTCATGTTTAATACTCTCAGGCTACAGTTATTTGATTAAAAAATACTATAAAAAAACAGTAATAATGTGAAATATTATTACAATTTAAAATAGTAGCTTTCTATTTGAATATATTTCATAATGTAATTTATTCCTGTGATGCAAAACAGAATTTTCAGCAACAATTCTCCAGTCTTCAGTGTCACATTATCCTTCAGAAATCATTCTAATATGCTGATTAGGTGAACAAGTAATATTTCTTATTATTGTCAGTGTTTACGCTGCTTATTTTTGTGTATTTTAACCTGCAATCTTGATGTTCATGACTAGTCAACTTCCAATTTTTTTTTTTAAAGATCATTTTTTCAGTCCACACTTCAGCATAATATTTTTGTTAAAACCATGACACATTTTTTTTGTCAGGATTCTTTGATGAATAGAAAGCTAAAAAAACAGCATTTCTTTGAAATAGAAATCTTTTGTAACACTTAATTTGATCGATTTAATGTGTCCTTGAAGAATAAACTTATTCATTTTTTGAATGGCAGTGTATTGCAGAAAATGGGAATTTGACGGCAAAAGGTCTTAAATTATGGTCTATATATGATGAAATCCTTGTAAAACCACAAAGCCCAAATCCACATCTGCTCACCTCCCTTTCTCTTTTACACCCATCACTTAGCAAAACCGCCTCGTCTGTTTGAGAAGATCACCACAGACTCTTAAACATGATTTCAGCCTTGTTCAAGTCATCACACAGTCAGCCATAAAACACATATCTATAAGTCTCAATTTAGCTTAACGCAAGCCACTATCTGAGGCAATTTCACTGAGGTACATTGTATGTATTTTCCCATGAACTCAGATGAAGAGAATGAATGGATCGCTCAAAAAGCCTGGTCACAAATCAAGAAAGAATTTATTTATTTATTTTCTTGCTGCACTAAGTGAGACGTGCGTATGCGTGTGTGTTTAAGAGGACATTAAAGGAGGGAGGCAGAAAAGGATGAAGGGCTTGAAATCTATAGTAATTGAACTATTTTGCAATCAACATTCAGTTAAACGAGTGACTCATGCAGCTAAGGGCAAAAGAGAGAGAGAGAGAGAGAGAGAACAATGCAGGGCGAAGAGAGAGACAAGAAAAGGACAAGTATATAGTGACGGCAGATTTGGTAGCAGCCTGCATTTTTAAATGTCGTAGAGCTTTGAAACTGAACTTAATTATACTTACACTTAATTAATCTTCTTGGTCTATGTGTCTTATTTCTATGGCAATTTCAAGGTTTTGTGTATTAAAGGGATAGTTCACCCCTACTATCCCTTTAAAGACTGCTGTACTGTTTAGCTGTGTGGAATCAACTGTTCTGAATCCACTATAATGGGCAAGTTAGAAATTACAGCAACAATGTAGTTTATGTTTGACCTCGACACCTAACAGTGTTATCAAGGTAACAATAAAATGCATGTTTACACCATACAATTCCCACTTCAACATCTGTCTGTTTTCTTTTTATTTATTATATAATAAATAAAAAAACAACTTTGCTACGTGTACTGCGTTAAGCTAACTGAGACTTGTTATAGCACTTGTATATCATTGCTCTTTTGTTGATTTTGATTGCTTCCATTGCCCTCATTTGTAAGCCGCTTTGGATAAAAGCGTCTGCTAAAGGACTAAATGTAAATGTAAAGGTAACATCTCTCATAACAATCATGAATACTTTAGTAGAGTAGATAGATAGTACTGTAAACAACAATCTAACTGGTAGATTCATTAAAAAAGTATTTATACAAAATTATTATAAAAAGAAAATGTGCTCACTATAGGTTATTTTCCCCATTTTGATCATGCATTTTACTTACTTTATGTAACTGCCATTTCTTCCAGCTGAATAAGAACTGTGATCTGAAAAGAAAGAAAGTAGGGAGAGAGAAAAAAAAGTGTGATATAAAGATCTGACTCAAATATCAACTCAAGGACCATTAAATGTACATTCAAGCCATACAGCCACAAGCCTCAACACAACCAAATTGTGAAATTGAATCAGTATTACCGCATTTGGATGAGTACGATTAAAATTAAAAACGTCAGTTAGGAATAACTAACCTGTTCACACAAACATTTTTGGATAGGTCCCATCATGCAAAACTAGGGTTGCAAAGGGCCAGAACATTTCCCGTAAATTAAGTTAAGTTAAGCTGGGGAATTTTGGAAATATTCAAAGCTGGAGACATAATGGGAATTTACAGGAATTCATTTGAAATTTGGGGTATTTAAATTTAAATTAAATTTGGAATTTTTAAAAATTTCATTTTTGACATTTTTTAAGTAGAAATGAACTCTTTCACTGAACAATAAAATAGTTGAAAATGTTGAATAAAATAAACATATAAACATATTCCCTTCAACTATATTTGCAATAATTCCCATTAATTCTCAATAATTCTCATATATTCCTGTTAATTCCTATATATTTCCATTAATTTCCATGGAAAGTTTCCAACTTTGAAAATTCCTGGAATTTTGCAAACCTATTCAAAATAATGGTCAAGGTTTTTGGATGGATGGATGAATGGATGAAAGGACAGATGAACAGATGGACAATAATAGTAGAATAATACAATGACAGACAGACAGACAGACAGACAGACAGATAGATAGATAGATAGATAGACAGATAGATAGATAAGACAGATAGATAGATATATAGATAGATAGATAGATAGATAGATGCTCATAGAGCCCCTCACAGAACTAAAATATTAAATGGTCCCTGACATCTGAAAAAGACACTTAAAAATATGTCTTGTCTCTAAAACTTGAATTGAATTTCTATGAGTGTCCCAGAACTCTCTTGAGGGTCTATTTAGCCACTCAGATCAATACAACTTTGGAGACTGTTTACACAAAATGAGTTTGAGAAGTGAGTTGTGTGGAGATGGATTGTTAAAGGGATAGTTCAACCAAAAATGAAAATTCTCATTATTATTTACTCACCCTCTTGTCATTCCAAGCCTGTATGATGTTCTTTCTTCTGCATTCATTGTCCATAAAATGGAAGGTCCAATGCTTCCAACATTCTTTAAAATACTTTTTTGGTCACAGAATAAAGATCATACAGGTTTGAAATGACACAAGGGTAATAAATGATGACAGATTTGTAATTTTTGACTGAACAATACTGTTCACTGCATATTACAGTAACAAAAAGTGTTAATGTAACGGCCACAACAGAACGCCAGCTCCCCCTTGCACTGTTACATGAAACTGGCCAATCAAATTGTAAGAGACAGATGTGCGCCCCAATTACTGCAGCCCTTTGAGAGCGAGAGCTACATATCAGACATAGCCAACAGTACCAGGCACTCTAATGCACCGATAACAAACACTGTCTCTGTCTCTCTGTCTCTCACGAGACACACACACACACGTTTGCATGTAGATGAACATACTGAAGTATCTGCATTAGGATCCTCATACTCTATGCATGCATATAGATGACTCGTTACGCAAATACAGTCTCTCTATCCTTGTCTCGCTATCGCTCACACCCAACCCCCCAGCACCTCAGGGTTTGAAATTCATGTGCGAAATAAATAGAGAGAGAGAGAGACAGACAGAGAGCGAACACATGGGGTAACTCAGGAGGCTGGTGAGGGAAAGAGAGAGGAAAAGGGGGGAGGGGAGAAGCGAGCAGGAAGTCAGTGACATGTGAGGACAATAGAGGAAAAAAGAAAGTCAAAAACGAAAAAAGAAGCACGATATCTAATGAAAGAGAGGGTCTCGTCAAAGGTACGACTTTGCCAGGGAATTCTCTGCATCAACCTGGAAACATTCCAACACACACACACACAACATGTGGACACATTCCAGCGAGCCACAGCTGTTAACCCTTACACCACAACTGTACTTCCATAATTACTGCTTCGCCAAAGAAACGTATGTTCAGACAAACAGCTCTTACCCCTAGCTAGATATTAAGTGCAGTATATTAGACGCACTCCAATCATCAGATCCTTCCTACACAGTGAAATGTCATTGCCTCTAACAGTGATATTCTCAATGTCATGACAACCCAAACACACGCAGATTCAGACTAGAAAACTCAGACAATAATATCCCAAAGCTGTTCACACAAACACAACTGGACACGACATTCAGAATAATGGTCAAGGTTTTCCAATAACCCATTTATAAACTTGGGTACCTAAAGATTTCTCAAAAGATTTCTCTCAAAATACACATAATTTCACCATTTTATTATGATATATATTTTTATTTATTTATTTAATCATATATAATCAGTACAAATACATCTTATTACAACTCACTCAAGAATGTTATTCTAGATAGTCAAGGGATAGTTTACCCAAAATCCGCATGTAGATCTGAACCTGTATCACCTTCTTCTTCAGTGGAACATAAAAGAAGATATTTTGAAGAATGTTTCAGATTTCAGTTTCTTTTTTTTCATCTTATTTTGATATTCAACTACTATCGCTACGCAAGTTTGCATATAGCTGTTAACTCAACATGTCAAATAATGACAGCTGGGTTGAGTTGACACAAATTGGGTGGCGCGATTGCCACAAAAGTATGATATTGTGTGTCTTCCGAGTTGAACAATTTCAACTCAAGCAGGAAATTCGCATGATGCGTTGTCGCGCAATCAGTGAAAAGCTTATTGACACGTCCAGTTTGACATGTTGTTGTTGTGCGTGAAGACACTCCTCATCGCACAATATTTTTATTTGTGCGAGTGATGCGAAAAACATCCCACGAGTAATCTAGAGTGATTAATGTGAGTGAAAATGCTCAAATTTGCTTCGCTTTTGGTGATTTTTATTTTAAATTCAACGAATATTCGAAATTCGAAAAAAATAATTGACAGCCCTAGTGTGCACACACCATTAGTGAGAACAAAATGATTGTGACTAATTTTATTTTTTCAACACTCAAAGGTTCTACAGTTCTACCAACCATTGCTTTTTCTTTCACAAATAGACTAACTCTCTAACTGTGCTAATTGGTGCTAATAGTCAATTCTCAAAACAATGTAACTGCATTTTTGCAGACTGGAACATCACAATTTACTAATACTATTGCATCAAGTTTCTAAAAACTATCAGAACTCTATCAGAAAACTAAAAGGCAGGATTGGACTCACTGATTCAATATACAATTGCGGCAGTACATTGTTAACCGTACTGGTGTACAGATGTAACTAGGTATGTATAGCAATCATTCATGCCAAATGGCCCCTCATTTATTTTGAACATTGCATCACCTATTTTGTAAATGTGCCTTATTATGTTTTCTCCAATGCTTTGTTTAAACCATACTGTGGTATTGTGGTTATGTCAAGACAGCTAGAGAAATAGACCATGATATATATCAGAAATACGTTGAACATTTGTTCCTGAAATATTCACAGTTCATTCTTTCTAAGAAGCAAAGCATTTCCGATGGTATCAGGTCAAGAGTAAGTGAAAGTTCCTCACGAGATATTTCACTTTCACATGTTTCATCCATCTCTCTTAACGGAAAAATCCAGCACAGTCCAGTGACTGGGGATATCCTGAGGTCTATGCAATCTATTACAGTATGGTATGTGGTTGAATTTCATCCATTATGAATGAGAAATACATGAGATGGAGAGAACAGAGGGGGGGAGGGGAGTAAAACAAGGAGTGGGAGAGAATGACAGTAACAATGAAATGTTGAAATGTTCCACTGCCTGATCTGGACACGGGAAAAGTAAGTTGTGACTGGATAAGAAAAGGAATGATATATTGAATGTTGTGAATATAATTTTTTTTTTTTATGTTGCTTCATCGGCACGGGTGGGATGCTCAAATTAGTTACTCTAAAGAACGTTTTGATAGCAACAGAGAGTACTTCAATATACCTGTTGCAGAATATTAATAATACTATAAAGTATTTTTTTAAATAATATATAAATGTTATTATCAAATATGCATATTTCAGTTTAAACTACACATTTCTATTAATGTCAGTCAATCTCAATGTCAGAACGATATACTGACGATACAAAGGAGTAGCGATTCGTGCATTTTCTTAAGTCAGCAATTGATCAATCCTATCATTGCAAACGCACTGATTTTGAAACGAGTTTTAAATAATTGTGCATCAATAATCTACTCCAAATGTTACATTTTTTGTGACAATATTGAAAATAACATACGATATTAAGAATAATATGAAGTAAAGCTTTTTTCTCTATAATGTATCCTTAACCAGACTTCACCTGCTCTCTTACTGAAATTGAATTCTGAAGTAGTCTCTCATTTTTCATTTTCTTGGCTAAGATACTTCAGAGGAGGTATAATAAAAACTCTGTAAAAGAGTATGTAAAAGTTACTAAACTGAATGACTATTCAGTGTCCCAAGATGTACTGTATTGAATCATTCTGAAAGAGTTATGAATGTCTTTAAAGACGCATTAAAGTTTCTATACACAGTTGATATGCAATACCCACAGGGCTCTGACATGAACAAACGCGGGTAAGACTGATGAAGTTTCTGACCTTGATATAAAGCACAAGGCTGATGCTAATTTACAGACTGTTCTGTTACAGAGAACCATGGGAAACATTCCACGATGACAACTTGGTTAGACTGATGAGCCTGAAACAAGGCCACATGGTCTGCTACGCTGAGAGATTCAAAATTCGAAATATGAGTTGTACAAAAAAAAATACAGAAGAATACAGATCTAAACTTCAATGTAAGAATAAACCACTTTAACGGCAAAATATATTTGCGTGTCAAAAATAAGCTTAAATAAACAGATATCAATGCCATCTGAGACACAGTAAAAATATGTGGCTCAAAATCTAATTTAAACCTGTAAATAAACAGAAAGTTTTAGGATTTTGAAAAATATTAAAGAAACATAACGTAAAATGAACAAGCAATATTTAACATTCTGCACTATTTCTACATAATCTATTTAATTAATCAAATTAGTGACACTCATCATGTGTACAAAATATCAGATAATCAAAGAAAAAGATCCTTGCTGCACTAGAAATTCTGAAATAATAAAATTCACAATTGGATTGTTTAATTGCATGTTCGATTTCAATAATTATTTGAAAAGTCTTAAAGGGGTCCTATTATGCTTTTTCACTTTTTGAATTTTAGCCAGTGTGTAGTGTGTATGTTTGGGCATAAAAAAGATCTTCAAACTTACAAATCTCAAAGTCCACTCCAAAGGGAGATATTTCGTTTTTTTTTTAAATTCCTTTTCAAGAACTACAACGAATGGCTCGTTTGGACTACAGCGTTTCTTTTTCGGGTTTTGTGATATCACAAAACGGCCCATTAGAATATCATTCAAATAATTCCCGCCTAAGGAAATTCGAATGGTTGGGGGGCGGGAGGGGCGAGGTCGTGGTTAGAACCAGAACGCTTGGTTGAGTGCATCAGACAAGACGACGACGAAGAAGGAGTGCTGCTGTAGCGTAGAGAATGAGTTTGCATATATATGCCGCCTGGGAAACACTGGACTTTGGTATAAATAAATTAAACTGTATAACAGTGTCACTGCAATTCATGTTATAATGTTAGAATTAAATAACAAAAAATACATATGCACTTATCTGAAGGGTCGTCACATGTGGTTGCCGCAAGCCCGCCGGCCGCTCCTTTGTCGAATCCGCCGGCTGCGCTGTTCTCAAACTCACCGGCCGCCGCTCACTCAAGCCGACCTCCACTCACTCTAGCCAGGAGAAACAATAATGTACAGTATGTGGAAAATAATGTGTTTTTTTAACCTTAAACCGCATAAACACATTTCATTACACCAAATACTCAAAATAATGTTCCTTTTAGCAACATCATATGACCCCTTTAACTAAACTTGCTGCTTTGGCAAGGGGCGTGGCAGTACTGAAACACCGTCTAAGCTGTTCGCCAATAACAACGCACTGGGATAGCTAACCAATCACATCACATTTCGTTTTTCGGAAGGCGGGCGTTCATCAAACCCGGAACTAATCGAGCCGTTTGTGCCAGACTGGGGAGAAAGGTATTGTAATAATGTAAATTATGTAAAAAATAATGCGTTTTTCGAACCACCAAGCATGAGAGCATGTTCTAGTACACCCCCAAAACAAATTCAAGACATTGTAAAAGAGCATAATAGGACCCCTTTAATTTAATATTTTGAAGCCTACTGTTATTTTAGCAACAAAGGGACTTGTTAATGGAGGAAAACGCATGTCGAGTCGTTCCTGTTGAGCCGCATCAAAAGAAGGTACGGTACATAGTTACAATGACTGTGATTACAAGCACTTCTTAAATTATACACCAAAGGACTTCTTCAGCCCCAATCCATAAGTTTCAAATATCCTCCTGATCACAAGTTGAGCTCCAATAAGAGAGTTACCACGGAAGCATGGGTTATGTAACATTACATAACAGACAGGCGGTATGAGTAATATTTCATAACACTAGAGACCCTGACACCATGGCATCATCTCTCTTTTGCTCTTTTCTCTCACTTCATCTCTCCTCTGATGTTGAAATCAATGGTGTTATTTTGCGGAAAGTCCCCTTGACGGCCATCGATGGCTCGGTATTAAACGGAGCGTGTTGTTGCAGAGTGGCCGTGTGTTTTTTGCTCTGCCTCTCTCTGTCTAGCGCTAGACCAGACACTTTGCTCTTCCAAATTTTGATATCAAAGAGACATCAAATTCACCCCCCACCCTCGGCTCCGCACGCCCTGATTTCTTTCTTCCCTCTGTCCCCTTGAGTGCTAACAGGGTCAGGCTAGGGTCACGGCACAGATGCACGCCATCCACCAACAGGCCATGGCACGCAACCAATCACAGTCAACAGACGGCAAAACCACCATCAGGATGCTTTTCTGAAGATAATGGAGTTTATATTGCTGCAGATTAATGAATATCAACAACAGGCTCTTTGTTAGATCAGAAGTTATGAATATGAAAGCTACAAACTGTAGATGCATAAACAGAAACAAAGAGCAGCAAACACAATATTCCGACCACACTACTGAAACACTATCCTCTTTACATTTTTTTTCACCCATGATACCCCAATGAACATGAAAGGAAAGTATAAACATGTTAAAATGGGAAACAATCAAAATGAATGATCTAATATTAAGTTGTGTTATTAGCCAATCTAAAATGTCCTTGGGGTTCAAAAGTCAAACCACTACAAATTATATTATCAGCATAACAACAAGTGAAAAGAAATTAAAAGTGAGCATGAATTGACATAAATAACAAGACAGCTGACCTTTTATACAAAGGGATTCACGTCAGTGTGAATAATTTAATTATTTAATTAGAAATGATTCATTTGAAATTATTAATCTTATTTTTTAATATCTTAATATCATTTTTGATCCTAAATAGTTCATTTTAAGTCAGAATACTTACATTTTTTTCAGAATCCTAAAACTTCACATTTATTTGCAGATTTGCATTAGATTTTGAACCCAAATTTTTTAAGTGGTGTCAGACTTTTGAAGCTATTTTTTTGTATGAGCAAATTATATCTTAATTTATTAAGCTTATTTTTTTTTACAGATTTTTTTTTAAATACCATTAACACTTCAACTTCAGGATATAAACACTCTATTTGTAATGTGAACGATATTAATTAATTATTGTATAATTACTACTACAAAATATACTCCAATCTACAAACCAAGCATAATGTATGTAAGACCAACATAATTAATTAATTAATTTCGCAAATAGACCTTTAGTAAATTAAGTATCTTCGATGTTAATTAAGAAATACACAGTGCCTTTAAACATATCTGTCCATAAAACCTAAACTGTTCAAATCTGCAGCACACAGAATGCATAATATTCTAAGATAGACACACATTAAAACAACCATACGCATTAAAGGGACCCAAAACTGAAAATTTTGTCATCATTTACTCACCTCATGTTGTTCCAAAACTGTATCACTTTCTTTATTCTTTGAAACATAAAAAGAATATATTTTGAGAAAAGTCTCAAAGTCACATCTTTTGTGTTCCACAGAAAATGGAAAGTAAAGGTGAAGACATAAAGGTGAGTACAATGATGACAGAATTATCATTTTGGGGTGAACTATCACTTTAATATGTATAGATACCTATTAAACTCGCTTCAGGAGAACAGCCTTATGAAAACCACAAACACACACTTATTTTCATTACAACCTGCTTACCAATAAACACCTACACACAAACAAATGTTACACCTACCAGATCCAGGTGCATCGAGGACCAAATGCAGACAGCGGAGCATGATCTACACCACAGACACTCCCTCTGTACAAAAATGTGGAGAGATGCCACAATAACCCACAAAAATCTCATCCAGAATTATTCCGAGAGGAAACAGAGAGTCAAACCTCACGACACACACAGCCAGAGCCAGAGCATTTGGCTTTTGTGCATTTCAACAATAACGTCTCTGATTTAATGCCTCGATGCACCAAGCAAACCCCTGGATGAGATGTGCACTTTACCACATGCGTCCACGAGCTCGCTCGCTGTTCCTTAGCGCTGCCGACGGTATATCGCCTGGGCGTTCGCTAGAAGAACCATTACTTTTCCAAACTCAAAGACCCAGTGTGCCTTTTTGCCTAGTGCTAACTGTACAAGTCAACTGTACATATAGGCACATACAGGCCTGAGATCTGTGGCCATTGTCTCTGATTCCCCTGAGCTAGCGGATGACCGGATGGATGGACAGTTGTGACGGTTCCCGGATGAAAGGATGATGGACAGAGGAAGTTAGGGGCATACTGGGAATGGCGCGTAAGGCAGAAACAGGGAAAGAGAGCGACCCCCACAATTCCAAGCACGGTTCGCCCTCCTGCATGTTCAAGCACGCATGGTGACATACACACACTCACGACACACACACGCACACGCAGAATCACTTACGGACAAAACCTACCGTGCAAACTAACACAATATTTGCAGCACAAGCATTAGACAAGAAAAGTGAAGGAATGAGGAAACAATAATCATCCGTTTTCAGCACACATCTCACACATGCTTTGATTCTGTCCTCCGCCGATGCCTGAATGTTCATCCTCGATATCAGCCTCGAAAAATATGAAACAAGACAATCCAGAGTGAACTACTGGTTTTCAAGAAGATTAAAATGCAGGAGACAGAAATAGATAAAAAAAGAAAGGAAAAATAAGTACCTTTTGAAGGTGATTTCAAAAAGTGAACAAGAAATAGTAGGAACAGAGACTAAAAGTTGAAAGATAGTGATGGATAGAAAGAGATGGTGACTTAGGAGAAAAAGAGAACTAGAGGGTTAAAACAGAAAAACAAGAGTACCAGTCTGGTCGTTCCTCCTTCTTTTCCCGCGGTTTCGTTGATCCCACGTTTGGCTCTTTCTCTCGTTGCTCCGGGTCCTTCCTCCTCTCCGCTATCCCAGTCACTTCTCTCCTCTTAGCGTTTCCTCCCAAACCACGTTTTTCCTCCTACCCATCCCATTTCCTACTGTTCATTCAGCACTCTGAACTGCTTTCACATTATGAATGTGAGAATTTGTGGGATAGAGCTTGAAAATGATTCAACGCAAAAAAAAAAAGAGAAAAAATTATGAATGTAAGTGAAGTGCAAAGGAGAGCGGATGGTGATCAGGCACCGAGACAAGTAGGAAAAGGAGCTGCTGAAGGGGCCTGGTTTTTTTAGGGAGGCACGCAGAGGGGTAGGGGGGACCATTAAAAAGGCTGCGCGTGTTTCTCCGTCCAGGAGGGAGGAACACGGATGGAGCTGCCAGGCTGCGAGGATGAGAAGAGAAGCACTGCAGCCGGCGGAGAGAGAGGAAAAGAGAGCGAGATCGTAAGGGCGCATGTGTGCGCAAGCGACCGCATGAGGAAGTGGGAGGGGAGAGAATGACAGAGAGGGAACGACAGATAGAAAAGAGAGGCTAAGGGGTTCACGGGAGGGAGGGAAGAAGGAGGAGTGAGCCGTAGCCGAGAGTTCAGAGGAGGGGGCCGGAATACATTTTCTTGTCCTGCGCTCTCGTCTCCCGGCGTTCGATTTTCTTTCATTGGCTCTTTTGAGAGTTGAGAGAGTGCCTGTTTTTTTTTCTTCCCAATCTCACCTTCTACATTCCAGGGTAAAAATCAGTGCCTGGAAAAAAGAGGATATTCCAGCCTGCGCTTTCCCATTCCGCTCTCTGTCTCGCTGTCTTCCAGGTCATTTTCTCCACATGCACTTGAACTCCAAATCCTGTCTGCCGGCCCCTCCCCCCGACCTCTGTGACTCGCTCTCCTTCGCTCCTTCTGATGGAGGCTTGAAATAGTGCCCGCAGGCTGTAAGTGAGAGTGAGAGGGAGGGGAGGACGAGGGGGACAGAAAGGGAGAGAGACGTGGGGGAAGGGGAGAAGGTTTACACGAACAGACTCTGTGCAGAGAGTGTGTGCTGGTGTGTCAGAAGGAGAGAAAACGAGAGGAAGAAATCCCGTGCACTTGCATGTGTTCAGTGACTTTGATTCTCAGAAATTACAGTGAGCTGCACAAAACATGAATTCTTGGAAGCAGTTTGAACAGGGGCATCTATTGTCTTCGAGGGGCCACCAGTGGCAGTCCTGGCTCACTTGAAACCCTAGGCGAGATAAGATAGTATGAGCAAAAGGAAACATTTTTTAATAACTTAGTAACTCTCTACATAAGTGCAAGTATTTTCTAAATAAATGGTAAATGAACTTGTTCATAATGCATTTTCATTGTATGGAATTTTTTTTATATATAATAATTCCACTGGACAAAGTTATGAGAGCAACATGAGAGTAGATGATTACTGATTTGTCAAGTTAAAGCAAAATAACTTATTATTAAAACTTTAACTAATTAAAAATGTATTATCAAAACGTTAACTAAAACTACATTTTTTGTAAATTTTAAATTTTTGTTACTTGAAATGAAACTAAAATAAAAGAAAATATATAAATAAATTGTTTTAATTTCAGCTAATTGCCAAAGCATCATATCTCACTTTCTTTTAGTTTAACCTGAAGTACTAAAATAACTAAAAACTGAAATAAAAATCTGTAATAGACATATTAAAAATATTATACAAAATTACAAAAACACACAAAAAAATTACTAAAACTATAAAATTAAAATAAGTTTTTATTTATATATTTTTTTGTTTGTAAAAATATTAATCAAACCTATAATAATATAGCCTATCAATGTCTAATTGGATTGACCACATTTATTCATGTTAATGGGTGGTTTTGTCATAGCATTGTAGACAACCAGTTTTTACCTACAATAAACATGCAACTTACTAATTATTAAATATTTTCTTTTTCTTTCTTTCTTTCTTTCTTCCTTTATTGTTGCATTCAAAAAACCCAATTGATTCAAATAACCTGGTGAGGCTAAAATACGTCTGTCTTACTGAAGTAATATAAAATCAACAGTGATATGTTTTGGTTGTTGCAACTATATTTCAGCTTTTAGGTTTTTTTGGGCATTTCAAATGTTAACATTTTGCTTAAAATAGCCTACAGACAAGTAATAAAATGTGATTTTACAATGTAGGCAGACTAACCACAAAATGGTAGTGAACCCAAAAGTGTCACTGTAGAATCGACCTATGAAATATAAAATTCATTCAAAATCCCATTTTGCGATTTGAAATATAAAACACATTTTCACTTCATTATCTATAGGCCTACTAGTATAATGGGCTAGACATTATTTGAATAATAACCTGTCCAAAAGAGACGAATTATTGCTTTCCTTCCACCTTTGCTGAGAACGAGACAGTAGGCTAACATAAAAGTAAAAAAAATGAAAATGCTTGAACTTGAACATAAGCTTATTTACCTGTAGAATATCAAGCCCAAAGCATTTTAAAAAGTATCGATCGAGTTATCGGTATCTAACTTGACCGTGACCGTCAATTAGATATTAAATAGATTTAAGACCATTCCAAAACCATCGGGTGTTAATTACAGTTATTATACAGGCTACAAAAAAAGACATTAATTCCTAGTGACTTACATTTTAAATAACATATTGTAGTTATTCCACAATGATACAGTGACTCCATAAAGGCCGTATCCAAAATAGTATACTAGGCTAACTTACTCTATTCCTGCCATGTTAACATAAGATACGACAGAAAAAAAATGAGTATGTAGTGCACTATTCACAAAGTCCCTTGTCGCGACCTAAGTAGGCTACAGCAGACATGAAGTCGAAGGTAATCGCAAATGAGCTGATAGCCTATTCAAAACAGCGCGATTTCTTTTATACACCAGTTCAAAAACAAGAGCACAACAAGACTAACTTACATTTAAGACACGATATTTCCAGGTCGTCTTTCTTATATAGCTTTGCCAACCAAAATAGTTTCAGAGTCTCTGAGGCACAGACGACGGTTTTAGTTTCTGAATGAATCGGTTCCTGAACAAACCTATTGAGTAAATGATTCAAGATTCATTCGTTCCTGACTGAATCTGTACGAATCGGTTGAGAAAATGATTCAATGACTCACTCGTCAAAGCAGTTTTCGTTCTTGAATGAATCATTTTTAGAACGAATCGTTTGAATGAATGATTGAATGACTCTCTCATAAAGACAGAACTTGTCGCCACCTAAAGTTAACGAAAGACTTCACTAAAGCACAGATTGACAGTCTGTCTGTAACGTGCAAACACAGACAAGCATGTGATACAAACTGTCCCAATGTTCATTAAAGGAACATTAATGAAAATTCTTGTCTGACTAGCCAATTAGCTTAGTTACCATTACAATATCAAGCCAATTATGTTTTTAACAATGTAAATAAATACCATTTAAGGTCTCATATTTATAAAGGCCACTGTGAGCCCTCATTTAAGTCCAAAGCAACCTAATATTTAAGCCAGGGAGGATGTTACTGAGATAACAACCCTGCTGCAACACCACAGTGCCCTTCAGCAAGACACTTAACCTCAAGCTGCTCCAGGGGAATCGTCCCTGCAATTAGTGTACTCTAGTTCACTGTAGATAAAAAACCACTGCTAAACCACACATAACAGATCCTGTTATGTCCTGTTGTGTTTAAACTGAGCAGCAATATATAATCCTGCTAATTGGGTGCTTGCTAAGGCTATTATTGATATTTCTCATACTTAACTGTATAAAACCTACTGTATCCTTACTGTATTTGATATGTGAAATTCTAAGGCCTCTATATGCTCAACATGATCAAAACTTTGCTGAAAAACCTGTTGTACACAATCTGCTTCATCCCTTCTGCCCTCTGACTGATAATTCATATACAGTAATTATAAAGATAACTTCTATATTAGCAATATTTCAAGAAAAACATTTACTGGATTTATTCAGTTTAGGTTTACTTGATTATCCATACATTATTTTTTAGAAATTTTTTTTTTAATATAAGCATCACATTTTGGGAAATGTTTATTTGTACATCACTCAATCATGATTGCATTGCATTATATGTTTTGAATGAAAACTAGAGCTTTGATCATAAACCTAGTTAAAATATAATCTTACTAAGATATATTAGTGGGAGATATGGTGACAATGGATATTTATGTGCATTTATGTAAACAGTCTGCTATACTGTTATAAAGATCTCATTTAATTACATTACAAGCTATCAGAATGGAATCTTACTTTTTAGTAACAACACACTGAGCAGAAGGTTTTGCCTGGGCAAGCACCATTCAGATTTTCTTCAGATCCAAGAAGAAAACAGCGCTTAAAGGGATAGTTCACTCAAAATGAAAATTCTGTCATCATTTCCTCACACTCATGCCAATTCAAACCTGTATGATTTACTTTCTTCTATGGAACACACACATATTTTGAAAGTCAATAAACTTGGTGGGCAATGTCAAAACTGACCATATTGTCATCTTTTTATCCACAATTGTGTGGTTTAAAAAAATAAGAAATATTTCAGTAAATGATGACAGAATTTTCAATATTGGGTGAACTATTCCTTTGAGTGTCTTATGCAAGAGCTCAACAGGGATGGCTCGTGGCTTAGTCCTTGTGAGGATCAAAACACCAATCTTCTAGTTATGTTCATTTTGTATTAACCACTACAGCATAATATAGCAACAAAATTTCTACTGACAATAGCAGTATATTATGGGTTTCTCTCAGGTACTTTATTCAAACTCTTTTGGCTTCTCCACCAGAAGCAGCCAGGTGCACACATGCATCACTCTGGTGCTGATAAAGCTTCATTTTTTCATTTCAAAATGCCTGTACATCTATCTTTTGTTGCCGTTATGCTCATTTTCTCAGCTCCTCTACTTCCCCTTGGTCTCCAAACAAATCAGTCACAGTGACAGTACTGCAAACAGAGGTGAGCTGATACAATAGAAAGACCCTGGTCCAGACAGACTGCCTCTGCTAGTGTCTGAAATTATACTCAGAAATCCAGCCACACTGATCTGAAGCCAAAATCAAAATGACACAATATTAGAAATCGTATCCTCTAACTACAGCATGGCATAAATTTTTATTGTATTTATGTCTACCATGGCGGCCAAGAAAGAGGTTCTGGTTGGTGTCCAGTCAGTGCAGGTGGAGTAAGCAGATTTTCAGCGCCCTCTGCTGGTTGATGGTGGCTCATTAAATAACTGGAAGGCAAAATGAATTGGCTCAATCTCTGTTTCACTTTATTAGTCAAACGTATTACTCCATACAACATATTATTAAAGCAATTACATTTGAGATTGCTGAGCTGTATAATTTATGTCTGAATGAATTTACACCAAAACAACAATTATAAATCTTTTACTAATAATAAATATGTATATGAATGTATATGTATATGAATATTGTTCCCTTTAAGGCCCCTTTTAACTGATGAAATGCTCAAAGTATAACCAAAAAGATTAAATGCACACTCAAAGTATAACCAAGGGCAGTCAAGCATTGATGCATGTTGCTTTTTTCCTTTTCTGCTGACTTTGCAGACCCACAAACAGATGTTAGACACACTTTTTCTAACTCACTGCTGCCATCTTATGCCACCATCTTTGCATGGTGCTTTGGTAAACTAGAACTTCATTCTGATTAAGCTATTATTCATTTTTAAAAAGTCAATAAATAAAGGTCATAAAATCATAAGACGCAGATCAGATGTAATTGTAAAAAAAAAATTTATTTTGAAATATATAATCTGGTTAGCAATATGAACAGTGTATAATGTGAGCCGTTTAATACAGCATCAATGGAATAATTTCCCCCAAAATGAAAATTTGCTGAAAATGTACTCACCCTCAGGCCATCCAAGATGTAGATGAGTTTGTTTCTGAATAGATTTGGAGAAATTTAACATTACATTACTTGCTGCAGTGAATCAGTACAGCAACTGATATAAACATCATATAACCACATATAACCAACACGACTCCAGTCCATCAGTTAACATCTTGTGAAGCAAAATGCTATGCGTTTGTATTAAACAAATCCATCATTTAGACATGTTAACTTCAAACAAGTCCTCTATCTATGTTATTGTTTTCTCCAGTGAAAAGCTTGTCTCACCTGAATCAGGAGAGAAATATGCACAGATCAAGTTACTAGTGACAACAGTCTGAAACAAATATGTTCCAAAAAAATATGTCAGTGGACTTTGATGTGAGAGGACAACAGGGGATGCACTTTTTCACTGGAGGAAGCGTTATTATAGATTATGGACTGAAGCAACAGTTTAAAGTTATTTCTTATAAACCTGAACTGATGGACTGGAGTCGTGTGGATTACTTGTGGATTATTGTGATGTTTTTATCAGCTGTTTGGACTCTCATTCTGACGGCACCCATTCCCCTGCTGAGGATCCATTGGTGAGCAAGTGATGTAATGCTACATTTCTCCAAATCGTCGAGTCATCTACATGATGGATGGCCTGAGGGTGAGTATATTTTAAGCAAAGTTTCATTTTGGGGTATACACAAACCAGAAAATATCTTGTTTACACATTTGGGAACCAGCATCAGATGCATCCTCACAATGAAATGATGAGGCCAACATCTCAGCGTTTATCAGACCTGATTTCAGCATAATTGACAGGAAGCACCAAAAAACCCTGTAGAATTACAAAAAGGGTAAGGAAGGGTCATCACTATTAGCATTCCAATCAAACAACTTCAGTGATTGAGCACTGGCAAATATGCTAGGAAGAGAAGAGGGACGAGGATTAGTCATAGGTCACAAAATGACAAAAGAATTTAGAACAGAATTTAGTTCTTGCCTTGAGAGAAATTAATCAGACAGCAGAAAGGCCAGAGTATTAACCAGGACAGCATTTGTGGCAGAAAAAGTCTTCAGCATCAATTTGCTAAGAGTTCTGAAAGAACAAAATTAAAACGTTAGCAATTTAATCTCAACATTCCATGTTATTTTCGATGATATTTTACTTTATGGTTTTGTAACTACTCATTTTGGAATGAAATATTTCAGAACTTTTAAATTGAAAAGTTCTTACTCGGTGGAAGCGCTGATCCTTTCCTCCAGACCATCAATCATTTTTACATATTTGTCGAAGACCATTTGTGTGACACTATTAAAGGTTCTTTATAAACATGAAGAAAACAGTGGAATTGTTATTTAGTTAGTTAATTAACAGTATAATTGTAATAATAATAATAATACAATATTAAAATAAGACATTTCTAATGTCTAAAGTAAGAAGTATGTTGCATATAGGCATTTCTTTTAAAGCAGATATGTCACTGTGCATATATATGTGCATCTGTCCTTTTTTTTATTTCAAGACTCTTTTCTTACTTTTGTGCTTCATCAAGCTTCCTTTGAGTTAGCTGTCCACTGTCAGTTAACTCTTTCATGAAAATGCTCTTCACTTCATCCCAGTGCCTATTAAATATGAGGTAAAAATTTCATTAGTTTGATGATTTAACTCGGTGTTTCCCAACCGGGGTGCCGTCTGTTGAGAGCAGGGGTGCCGTACTTTTCAAATTATCATATCGAAGTTAGAAATTCAAATATTGTGACAGAATTAATGTTGTAGGGTGCCACAAATTTGTTAAAATTTCCAAAGGGTGCCGCGACTAAAAAAAGGTTGGGAAACACTGATTTAACTAATCATCAGTTAAATGCTCACAGGTGTTGTAAAATTCTCAATGTCTGCACATTTAAAAACAAAGAATAAAAAACTTGCTGCAGTGTCATAATATTACAAATTAAAATGTCAAATTTAAGATTAAACATTCAGGACTGGGCCTGTTGAGCAGGAAATTATTTGTTACACTTTACCTTGCTGATTGTTCAAGTCCATCATTATTAATATTTCTGTTGATCTCAATGAGAACTCTGTCCCAGATGTCAAAGCATGTCGCTTTAATTTTGCTGTTGTGAACATCAACAGAGAAAGTGGCTGGGATCAGTTTTATATTTCAACAAATTCTTCAGCAAATTAATTTTGCATCTCAGTGGAAGCAGGTGCATGATTAAAGAAATAGTTCATCCAAAAATGAACATTTGCTGAAAATACATTGAACTTTAGGCCAGCCAGGATGTAGATGAGTTTGTTTTTTTATCAGAAAAGATTTGGAGAAATTTAGCATTGCATCACTTGCTCATCAATGGATCCTCTGCAGTGAATGGGTGCCGTCAGAATCAGATAAAAAAAAAAAAAACGCACAACTTTTCTTTTCAAAAGACGTTAGTTGATGGACTGGAGTCGTATTGTGGATTATTGTTTTGTTTTTATCAGCTGTTTGGACTCTCATGACGGCACCCATTCACTGAAGAGGATCCACTGGTGAGCAAGTGATGTACTGCTAAATTTCTCCAAATCTGTTCCGATGAAAAACAAACTCATCTACATCTTGGATGGCCTGAGAGTGAGTACATTTTCAGCAAATTTTCACTTAAGCATACACACACAAACAAACATCAGGGCTTTACGTATTATACCGTAAATGTCGCAGTGGGTCCTCATATTCCACATTTGATGTCATTTGGTTTTTCTTGTTTATGGAGACATGCAAAATTTCATTACTAATAATATTCCATATTTCATAAAGCGCACCCCTGGAAGACAACAGAAAAGGAAGTTATTGCATTAATGATCAAATGATAATGATGAATCACCACATATTCTTTAGTTTATCTACATTGTCATTGTACAGGTGTAGTATGCTCAAATGTTTTTGGATTATGGCATCCATAACATATTTATAGTGCCCAGACTGATTTAACAGGCTAGTGTGAGATTAAACGTGTTCTTACTTCAAATTGGACAAGATGTCCTCGCCTACTAATTCAGTGAGAGTGTCTTCAGTGTCAATAAAAAAATCATTAACTTCAGACATCCCAAGGCCATTTTCAGACAATCTTTCATAAATTGGAAAAGGGTATACTGTCGCCATCTTCATAATGGCCCTGTGAAACAAAGAGCAGAGTCAATGAACATACATCTATGCATCTATAAAGGATGTTCAAACAGAATATTAAACTGGAATGCAGTACATTCATAAGGCACAGCTTATGCTTTATACCCACACAATAAGCATAACAGCATTAGGAATGATTAATGGATTTTAATCCATGCATATTTACTTGAATTATGCCTTGGGGTATGTGGTCTCAGTTATTAGTCATACAAAGTTATTAATTCACAGTCATTTATTATGCACTGCGTGCACTGAATGAAAAGTACTGTCATACTAACCAGTTAGATTGATTGAATCTCTCATCTCCAAAAATCCCATTACCCCATCGATCATATTCTAGGGCAGCATTGTCAAAAAAGTCACCAAAACGCTCATCTGCCCAACTAGATAAGGAAAAGGAGTTTAGTTCTGTCATAGTTATTACAAGATAGCAAACATGCCATTGCTTTGATACGGTTCTTGGTTCAACATTGATGTTATTTGTACAAAGAGCAACACTCAACTTTGTGAAATCTTCAGAGCTTTAAAGGAATAGTTCACCCAAAAATAAACATTTTTTGAAAATGCACTCACCCTCAGGCCACCCAAGATGTAAATTAATTTGTTTCTTCATCAGGACAGATTTGGAGAAATTTAGCATTGCATTATTTGCTCACCAAAGGATCCTCTGCAGTGATTGGGTGCCGTCAGAATGAGAATCCAAACATCACGATAATCCACAAGTAATCTACATGACCATTTTGTTAAATATTTTTGAACATTTTGTCCATCAATTAATGTGAAGTGAAAAGCTGCAGGTTTAAGAATCATTAAGAAGTTTTTAACTTCAAACCTGGATAAAATACAAGGCCTCTATCCATAATATTAAAGTCATCTCGTCTGAATCAGGAGAGAAATATACACAGATCAAGCACTGTTTACAAGAAAAAACAGTCCAAAACAGTGTTTTGATGTGAGAGGACAAAAGGGGATGGACTTTTTTGCTGGAGGAAGCATTATTATGGATTGGTATTTTGGCCAGAAGCAATGGTTTAAAGTTAAAATGCCTTAAAGATGCACAGATGTTCACTTCACAAGAGATTAATTGTAAATAGGGATTAATTGTGTGGAATATTGTGGATTACTTGTGGATTATTGTGATGTTTTTATCTCATTCTGACGGCACCCATTCACTGCAGAGGATCCATTGGTGAGCAAATAATATAATGCTAGATTTCTCCAAATCTGTTCCCATGAAGAAACTTCAACTTTCATTTATTTATATAGCACATTTAAATGCAACTATGTTGCCCAAAGTGCTTCACAAAAATTAAGGATAAAAATAAAGTACACACACAAAACTTACACACAAGTATAACAAACATTTATAAAAGGTTCCCAAATAAAATTTTTCCTACTTCAAAGGCCAGACAAAAAAAAATGTTTCTTCAACTAGGACCTAAAAACCTCTATAGACGGAGCCTGCCGAATATACAGGGGAAGACCATTAAAAGGGGCAGAAAATGTCTGTAAAAAAAAAAAAAAAAAAAAGTTCAAAATTTTCCCCCAAAATCCTGGAAACTCCAAAAATTCTAGAAAGTTTCCAGAAATTTACCAAAATTTTCCAGAAGATTTCTGCTTCTTTGCAACCATGTAGATAAGTTGTTTCTTCATCGGAACAGATTTGGAGAAAATGTAGCATTCCATCACTTGCTCACCAATGCTCTGCAGTGAATGGGTGCCGTCAGAATGAGAGTACAAACAGCTGATTTAAAACATCACAACATTCCAAAAGAAATCAACAGAACTCCAGTCCATCAATTAATGTCTTGAGACGTGAAAAGCTGAGTGCTTGTTTGCACTCTCATTCTGACGGCACCCATTCACTGCAAAGGATCCATTAGTGAACAAGTTAACAATGCTAAATTTCTCCAAATCTGTTCCGATGAAAAACAAACTCATCTACATCTTGGATGGCCTGAGAGTGAGTACATTTTCAGCAAATTTTCATTTAAGCATACACACACAAACAAACATCAGGGCTTTACGTATTATACCGTAAATGTCGCAGTGGGTCCTCATATTCCACATTTGATGTCATTTGGTTTTTCTTGTTTATGGAGACATGCAAAATTTCATTACTAATAATATTCCATATTTCATAAAGCGCACCCCTGGAAGACAACAGAAAAGGAAGTTATTGCATTAATGATCAAATGATAATGATGAATCACCACATATTCTTTAGTTTATCTACATTGTCATTGTACAGGTGTAGTATGCTCAAATGTTTTTGGATTATGGCATCCATAACATATTTATAGTGCCCAGACTGATTTAACAGGCTAGTGTGAGATTAAACGTGTTCTTACTTCAAATTGGACAAGATGTCCTCGCCTACTAATTCAGTGAGAGTGTCTTCAGTGTCAATAAAAAAATCATTAACTTCAGACATCCCAAGGCCATTTTCAGACAATCTTTCATAAATTGGAAAAGGGTATACTGTCGCCATCTTCATAATGGCCCTGTGAAACAAAGAGCAGAGTCAATGAACATACATCTATGCATCTATAAAGGATGTTCAAACAGAATATTAAACTGGAATGCAGTACATTCATAAGGCACAGCTTATGCTTTATACCCACACAATAAGCATAACAGCATTAGGAATGATTAATGGATTTTAATCCATGCATATTTACTTGAATTATGCCTTGGGGTATGTGGTCTCAGTTATTAGTCATACAAAGTTATTAATTCACAGTCATTTATTATGCACTGCGTGCACTGAATGAAAAGTACTGTCATACTAACCAGTTAGATTGATTGAATCTCTCATCTCCAAAAATCCCATTACCCCATCGATCATATTCTAGGGCAGCATTGTCAAAAAAGTCACCAAAACGCTCATCTGCCCAACTAGATAAGGAAAAGGAGTTTAGTTCTGTCATAGTTATTACAAGATAGCAAACATGCCATTGCTTTGATACGGTTCTTGGTTCAACATTGATGTTATTTGTACAAAGAGCAACACTCAACTTTGTGAAATCTTCAGAGCTTTAAAGGAATAGTTCACCCAAAAATAAACATTTTTTGAAAATGCACTCACCCTCAGGCCACCCAAGATGTAAATTAATTTGTTTCTTCATCAGGACAGATTTGGAGAAATTTAGCATTGCATTATTTGCTCACCAAAGGATCCTCTGCAGTGATTGGGTGCCGTCAGAATGAGAATCCAAACATCACGATAATCCACAAGTAATCTACATGACCATTTTGTTAAATATTTTTGAACATTTTGTCCATCAATTAATGTGAAGTGAAAAGCTGCAGGTTTAAGAATCATTAAGAAGTTTTTAACTTCAAACCTGGATAAAATACAAGGCCTCTATCCATAATATTAAAGTCATCTCGTCTGAATCAGGAGAGAAATATACACAGATCAAGCACTGTTTACAAGAAAAAACAGTCCAAAACAGTGTTTTGATGTGAGAGGACAAAAGGGGATGGACTTTTTTGCTGAAGGAAGCATTATTATGGATTGGTATTTTGGCCAGAAGCAATGGTTTAAAGTTAAAATGCCTTAAAGATGCACAGATGTTCACTTCACAAGAGATTAATTGTAAATAGGGATTAATTGTGTGGAATATTGTGGATTACTTGTGGATTATTGTGATGTTTTTATCTCATTCTGACGGCACCCATTCACTGCAGAGGATCCATTGGTGAGCAAATAATATAATGCTAGATTTCTCCAAATCTGTTCCCATGAAGAAACTTCAACTTTCATTTATTTATATAGCACATTTAAATGCAACTATGTTGCCCAAAGTGCTTCACAAAAATTAAGGATAAAAATAAAGTACACACACAAAACTTACACACAAGTATAACAAACATTTATAAAAGGTTCCCAAATAAAATTTTTCCTACTTCAAAGGCCAGACAAAAAAAAATGTTTCTTCAACTAGGACCTAAAAACCTCTATAGACGGAGCCTGCCGAATATACAGGGGAAGACCATTCCACAATTGTGGACCTACTACTGAAAAGGCACGGTCACCTTTTGACTTCTTTTTGGGCTGAGGGACAGTCAACAATGACTGATTTACTGATCTAAGTGACTTAGCCAATGTGTAAGACCCTAAGAGATCGCTAATATAATTTGAAGACAAGATGTGTATAGCTTTAAAAAACAATCTTTTTTTTTGTGCCGGTCAAAAGCTTAGCTGCGGCATTCTACACAAGCTGCAATCCAGATAGTTGCAGTTGACAGATCCCTACATAAAGTGAGTTACAGTAATCCAATCGTAAAGTGATAAAAGCACAAATAACAATCTCTAAACCTTTTGACTTCTTTTTGGACCGAGGGACAGTCAACAATGACTGATTTACTGATCTAAGTGACTTAGCCAATGTGTAAGACCCTAAGAGATCGCTAATATAATTTGAAGACAAGATGTGTATAGCTTTAAAAAACAATCTTTTTTTTTGTGCCGGTCAAAAGCTTAGCTGCGGCATTCTACACAAGCTGCAATCCAGATAGTTGCAGTTGACAGATCCCTACATAAAGTGAGTTACAGTAATCCAGTCGCAAAGTGATAAAAGCACGAATAACAATCTCTAAATCTCTAAAACTCAGAAAAGGTTTTAGCTTAGAAATAATTCTGATAAAATAAAAACTACTTTAAAAAAAACTAGCTGATAAAAACTACTTCTTACAACCGAATTAATCTGTTTATCAAAACTAAGAGATTAATCAATTATGACGCCAAGATTTCTCACACTATCTTTCACTGTCATTTCTAAGGGGGCAAGAGCATTGGCTATCTTCTCTTTAGCCTTAGAAGGATCAAATATTAAGATCTCAGACTTTTTTCACTAAGCTGAAGAAAATTACTTGACAGCCAAACTTTAACCTCATCTAGACATCGCAACAGGGACTGTAAAGACTGTTCATTTCCAACCTTAAGCAGAAGATTTATCTGTGTGTCATCTGCATAAATGCGATGGCAGATAAACCCCAGAGGGCACATATATAAAGAAAACAACACAGGACTCCAAACAGAGCCCTGAGGAAGACCGTATTTTTAGGGAACCAGAGAGGATGAAACGTTTGCCAAATATTACAAAAAATATTCTATCCTTAAGATATGAGTGAAACCATTTCAAAGCAGTTCCCCCAAACCCCACCTCACACTCCAACCGTTTTAAGAGTATCGAATGATCTACAGTGTCAAATGAGGCACTAAGATCTAACATAATTAAAACTGCAGCCATCCCAGAATCAGCCGCTAATAACAAATCATTTAGCACTTTTAGCAGACACTTTTAGCAGTCTCAGTACTATGACCAACTCTGAAATCAGATTGGAATATATCCAGGAAATCATTCTCCCACAAAAAAGGGGTCATTTGAGTAAGAACCACCTTCTCTAAAACTTTAGATAAAAATGGAAGTTTAGAAATGGGGCAGAAATTGTTCAACTCTGTAACCTCAAGGCCAGGTTTTTTAATTAAAGGAGAAACAAACTACATCTTGGATGGCCTGAGGGTGAGGACATTTTCAGCAAATGTTCATTTTTGGATGATCTATACCTTTAATGTGTTTTTACTTGTATTACAACTGAATTGAATTTTTCTTACGTCCAGGCTTGAAGTCCTGTCTCTGGGCTAGTAATCATATGATATTTTTCCTTATCTTTCAACACTCTCAGCTCCTTCCATCTCCTGCAACCCAAACAACTCAAAACTTCGTTAATTATAATACAGAAGTTATTTTGTACATTCATCATGTCACGTTTTTTTTATGTAAGCCTACATTCTACATAAACAAGACTACATAAAAAGCACTATATACTATAATAATGGTGACTTGACTTGACATTCAGGTAACTATTATGATCATAGTCTTACCTTACAGTAGTTAAATATTTGTCATGGAATGGCTGCCTCTCAGTGTATTCCAATAGTTTATCCCAGTAAAATGCAAGAACTGCAGATGCAGTTCTATGAAATACACAGGCCACACTTTAGAATCATATGATTAGGAAACATACAGCTTAACTCAATTCAAAGATGAACATGAAAACATTAAATAATGCTCTTAATGAATGCCCTTACCTCAATGTTATTAGAAACTCATCCTTCTCACTCTGCCTCTCTAAGGTGGAAATTTCCATGGCCTTCTCTCTGACCAGATCCACAGCCATTTGTACTCTAAAAAATATAATTGAGAACTGAATGATGGACTATAAAATTTAGATTTGTCATCTGAGTGTTATTTGACATTTTACTCAACATGATGTTTTTAGGAAACAGTGCCTGCATGAAAGAATCATCATAAATGCAAGAAGTGTCATTGATTTTGTGTGCTTTAACACAGCAATGCATGACAAAAAAGATCTTACTCGTCAAAAAGTTGATTGATGTCTATCTTCCCAACTTCCGCAGTAACTTTTAGAATCTCAACCACTTGGGGCTGTGCCACCCTGTTATATATCACAACAAAGAAAACAACTTCCAGTCAACATGAAAACTAATATGCTTGATATTAACATATAAACTTCTTCATCTTAACTTTGAAAGACACAAAAAAAAAACAGATTAATAAAACAATGTTTACAGTACCTTACTATAAAATAGCAGCTAGACTGTAAGATTTTTTTTAATCAAATATATTATTTCATTATTTCAAAGGGAAAGAAACTGTTTGAAAGAAGCAATGTGTTAAACATGAGGTCATACACTTTGGACAGAAGGTGAGCGAGGAACCCCAAGGGATCGCTGTAGATTGGTGGAGCTCCTGGAAGGTAGCGTGACTCCACATATCTGCATTAAACAAAACCAATGGACAATGTTTTAGTTATCTATTATTTCAAAAAGATCCTGAGAAGATTATCTGCATAGAGATGGTGGATTTGAACTGTTTAATGGATGCATCTTTACACCATTTCAAAACAATATTTTCAGTCATCTTGCAGATTCAATAATAAAAAATAAAAAAAACTTACTTCCAGAGGTCCACCACTGTCTCGTTTTTGAAGATCCCTTTATACATGCCAATTTCTCTGTAAGAAGATATATCATATATTCAAGATGTTTAAACACAAATATATTCAGGAACAGACACATTCAACTTTATACACATCAGCATGCCCTTCATTAATTCATTTGCATGTTGATAAAATAATAATTGAAAAGTTATACAATAACATTAATTATTTGGATGAATGGTCTTCATACTGCAGAGTCCCACTGTTGCTGGGGAATGTGTTTATCAGTTGAACCAGACCGTCTCCGCAAAGCAAACCCAGTCTGTGAAAAATGCTGTTAAACACACAGAAGGAAAAAAATGATCGGGATGATTTGAATTAAATCATTCCTTAAATCGAAGTAGATTGTGTTCAGCTTTATTATTCATTATATAAATATTGGTTTTAATTTCAGTATATGTGACCCTGGACCACAAAACCAGTCTTAAGTCGCTGGGGTATATTTGTAGCAATAGCCAAAAATACATTGTATGGGTCAAAATTATTGATTTTTTTTTATGCCATAAATCATTAGGATCTTAAGTCAAGCTCATGTTCCATGAAGATATTTTGTAAATTTCCTACTGTAAATTTATTAAAACTTAATTTTTGATTAGCAATATGCATTGCTAAGAACTTCATTTGGACAACTTTAAAGGCGATTTTCTCAGTATTTTGATTTTTTTTTTTGCACCCTCAGATTCCAGATATTCAAATAGTTGTATCTCGGCCAAATATTGTTCTGTCCTAACAAAGCTTATTTATTCAGCTTTCAGACGATGTATAAATCTCAATTTCGAAAAAAAAAAAAAAAAATGTTGTGTGTTTTTTGTGGTCCAGGGTCACATATGCTTATAAAGTGCAACCGGTTTTTTGTATCCAGTGGATGAAGTACTCACTGCAGTGCCACAATGAACTGATCGTGTCCTTCAGCTCTTTGCTCAGCACTGATCCTCTCGATCATCTCCTTCACAGAAATCCACAAGTCTTGCATATCAGTACTGTACACCACAGAAAACAATGATAGTGAATTTACACTCCTCATTCCAAGGAAAGTCACAGAAATATGGCCCAATGTACAGTGTTAACTTTTTTCCACAGGTGTTTTAACTGTATTTTGAATTAACCATTGCATTGTGTTTTGTTTTTAGGGTTAAAGGAAATGTCCATAAACATGCTGGTAGTTTTCTGCTAGAACATTATCTGTTTTTCTTTTTTTCTTTTTTTTTTACAGTGCATGGTCTATGTTAACTTTACATCATACGTCTCTGGTTTTACCCTGTTTTATTGATCTTATTTTTTTCCACAACCACTTCTGCTGCCCCTTTTAAATTGTCCAAGTATTTCAAAAACGCTTCGGCTCCAAATGTGAAGAGTTTGTCTGCCATTTCATAATCTTCATCTTTTAGGCTGACGCTGTCCACACCTGCATATAAAAAACGAAATCAGCTAAAATATAAGTGACCGTGTAATATTAAATTATTTGATCAAGTCCAACCGCAGTACATATTTTAATATCACATTTATATTTACATAACCATTGTAAGATTAGTATTATCACTTGTTCAAGAGAGCTGCCATGTCTATTAAATATCACATCACAATGAATTTAGTTTACTTGTATACATAAGAAAACAAGCATTATCTTACCTTTAAAGAGCAGAACAGCTAAGATTAAGACAGCTAGTGACTTATTCATATTGTTGTTTCTTCCTCAGAACAAAAAACTAAATAACAGAAAGAGATCACAACATATTCACTGTGGACTTAAACATCAGGAGTAAAAAGCTGGACTCAACTTTATCTCTATTGATATGAACTTTCATTTGTGTGCACACGCCTACTGAACTTGCCTTGCAGTCTGTCTGCTCTTACCTCTCATGGGAAGTGTTTCAATGTAAACTCTAAAGGTCACAATAGTAGTGCAGACCGTACATATTTAATTGCTTCTTTTCAATTGTAAGTTTATCAACATCAGGTTTGGGTTAAGTTTTTGGTCAATATGTTAATATGTTAAAATAAGACAATATTTTCCTTAAAACACAAAAGCAAAAGAAAGGTTACCACATAAAACTTTAAGGTACTGTAACTCTAGTTAGTTCACATGAACAGTTCAGAGTAGTGCATGCATGTACATGCCAAACTGGACAAAAGACAATATATGTGATTTTGACAATGTCAGATTACAGGGACTGATAAATGTTTTGTACAAGAAATGCAATCTGTCAAAATTAAATTGAATGTAGGCCATGAGTTTAATGCTCTTTGAAAATAATGTAGATCAGTGTGAAAGTCCGAGGTGTGTTTTTGTCTAGGTCAATATTTCTTCAGTCAACATCAGTTTTTAGGGTCAGTAACTCACTAGAACATAAAAAATGTCGAAAATCAGGAGCTGCACAGAGTAAAATTTTAGTCTTAAGTATGTCAAAATTCTTGGAATGGTGTAATTTTCCTACACTTAAGAATAAGTGTGATTAATAAAGGTAAAAGTGCTACAACTAGGTCTCAGCTCCTAAATGATTTAAAGGGATAGCTCACCCCAAAATGAAAATTCTGTCATTAATTACTCACCCTCATGTCGTTCCAAACCTGTAAGACCTTCGTTCATCTTCTGAACACAAATTAAGATATTTTTTATGCAATCCGATAGCTTTCTGACCCTCCATAGACAGCAATGCAACTGAAATGTTCAAGGCCCAGAAAGGTAGTAAGAGCATTGTTAAAATAGTCCATGTGACAACAATGGTTCAACCGTAATTTTATGAAGCTACGAGAATACTTTTTGTGCAAAAAGAAAACAAAAATAACGACTTTATTCAACAATTTCTTCTCTTCCGTGTCAGTCTTTGACACACATTCACGACAGTACTACGATGGACTGTTTTCATGATGTCCTTACTACCTTTCTGGGCTTTGAACCTGTCAGGTGTGTTGCTTTCTATGCAGGTTCAGAAAGCTCTCAGATTTCATCAGATATTTCTTAATTTGTCTTACGAAAATAAACAAAGGTCAGGTTTGGAATGAGATGAGGGGGAGTAATTAATGACCGACTTTTCATTTTTGGGTGATCTGTCTCTTTAAGAGTGCTGGAGATGTCTCTCAACCTAACCTAGGAGTAGTATGATAACTGTGATATGTTGAAACCACACTCTCCAATATGGAAAAAAAAGTGCTTTAGACTTGCATAAGGGTGTAATTTGGATAAACAGGATTCGTAGTTGACTAAACAAGTGAAATCCATTGATATATTCATTTACTGCATTTAATAAACTCATTATTAAGAATATAGTGTACAACATCATTATTAGTCATGTAAGGATAAAAGAAACTCAGGAAACTCAGATACTTTGATCTCCTGAGAAACAGACAATACACTGGCACCTTCAAGACACCCCACAGAGGGGTGGTGCAGGAAACGCCTCTCTCACATATGCATCAGTGCCTTTTCATCTCCTCCCTCCACTGGATTCACTCAGAATGGTAAATAGTCTATATGAATGCAAATAAGATTTACAGTCATGTTTGGTTTCATTTGAAAAGTCTCAGGGTGAGTGGTACAATGGTCTTAATCTTACTAAAAGATAATACAGATCCTAAGAGTTAAGAGATACTTTGATTACCGTAGAGAGCAGGGCTAAACAGACCTACTATTTAAAGCATATTAAATAGTATTAGCCACGAACCTCTGAATAGGGTCAAACTGGCGAGTTTAAGCGACGTAGATTCCTAAAAATTCGAGGTCATACTAAAATGGAGTCAGATGAGATAATAAAATGGAGTCAAATTGAGTTAAACCTAAATTGAATAACTCTGCGCGCTGAAAAGACCGAACACGCAAGTGACCTTCATCCACCACTGGATACCTTCCTTGGACCAAGTGTGTGGACCTTACAGTCAGGTGTGTAATAATCACAGGGTTACAACTAAATGTTAAATCGTTAAAGGGTTAATGTACATCCAGCTGGTTGTTATTGCTGCAAAAATTATTATAGCGTTCTTAGTGAAACACTTTTTAGAAATTCATAGTTGTTCATGTGAGTTGCCATTTGAATTTAGCAAAAAACAACAACAAAAAACTACTTTCTAAGTGCTTAGAATAATTCTACAAATGATTCTGGTTCTTAAAAATTCGACATAGCTAAAAATAAGTGTTTTAGGCAGTGCATTCAAGTGTTTATTCTCTTTTTATAATGGGAAAATGCATTTATATAATGCACATTTTCTGCATAAGGCATGGAATACACTTATATTTAGACATTGTGTAGTTTTCAAAAGTACATTGTTCTGACAATATTCGGCAAGAATATTAAAACTGGAAATTAAAATTGGCCTTCTCATTACGTTCATCAAATGAGATCAAAAGACTTTGCTGTTGCTTGTATTTTCTTTATTAAAAGCTTCTATTTAGATAAGCCCTACTTTACTAAGAATGTCAAAACTTTAGACTACGCCTATGGCCCCAGGACTCCTTCTAAAGGTTTTTTTTTTTCCACCAATAATAAAATTAATTCTCTATGACCTTTTACATGTTAATAGAATATACCTAACTAAGCCTTACTATAGTTAAGATCCTTTTGCCTAGATTTTGGTTTTATTCAAGATATTTTTGAACATAAAATGATGCCAGATAAAATCAGTTATTTTGAAGTAGCTGGTGGAGAAAAAAATAGAAATATATATATATATATACATATATAAGCCAGTATGAAATCTAGTTGTTGCGATCTATCATTTAATTATTTCTTACTCACACAGTGCACAGACACATTTTTATTTATTTGCATCTATTAATTGGATCTATTTTCAAGTGTTAACACATGAAAATAGATCCAGATGTTATTGATATTAAGCTTTTTAAATTAATTTGTTAAGATGCTGGAGGATAAAAATGTGTATGAAATGCAACAAATCATGTTTTCGATGAAAACAAAGCATTACAGTGGAACAAATAAGAGTGGAATTTGTTTTACTCAACGTTCACCAATGCAATTATCCTAGTATTCTTTCAGAGGCAGGTATGCAATAACAGTTAATACATTGCTGGTATAATCCTGTTTATTGCCAGAAGTTGCAATCTTGACATTGCTTTCAAATATTAAAGAGTTTAGTCCAACAGCAGGTCCCAGACATCATTAAACATGACGTTTGTGCGATGCATCGACTTCTTGAAGGCTCTGAGGAACAATTAATATTGTGAATCTTATTGATTGCACTTGATAATATGAACTTGCAATATAAACTGATATTTATTATCAATCTTTTATTTACACAAAAAGTGACATTCAATATGGTTTCTGTTCAAATGCAGATATGGTAAGAAAATGATAATCTTACAAAACAGTTGAATCGATCCTTTCATCAAAGTCATCAACAAGATCAGTATACTGCTTCAGTTTCTCCAGGATCCGGTGAATGGCTTGAACAAAGTTTCTTTATAATTGAAAAACAAAAAGAGAGCCAGTCAAATATGAACTTTAAAAAGATGCTGAATTCATTCAACCAAAAGCGGCAATTAAGAACAAACTTGTCTTTATATATTTACATTTTCAGATTTAGAGCCATATATTAACAAATAAATCCTTGTCCTTAAAACAAAACTTGACCTTTCCTTACTTTGGTGCTTCTTCAAGCTGCTTTCGAGTAAATGCATTACTTTTTAATAACTCATTAATGATGATGTTCCTTGTATCATTCCATTTTCTGGAAAAAAAATAACATTTCCGATTGATTATTTGATTGCTCTCCTCATAAATGAACAAAAATCATACACAAGAACATGCTAAATTTCAGCCAACAAAGTGTCTCAGAACCAGGCAGTTCAGCAGATTTCCAACCTCACCACACTGGATAGTGGATATATAAAAAATACAAAAGGACATGTCTTACCTCTGTGTTTGCTGAAATTCAGTCTCATCAAAATAGCCGAAATCTGCAAATCTGAGAAAAGTGCTCCACAAATCTAGGAACACTGTCCTAATTACTCTATAGCAAACAAACAATGATTTTTAAAGAGGCATAGATTATATATGCATTATATCAAGAGAGCAAAGCACTAGCCTTCTAATCTGGACAAATATATCAACAACATACAAACTTATTCTGTTTTACTGGTTCAAAATGATTTTCATCAAGGCATTTTATTACATTGTCTTACCGCAAAGGCAGTAATAGTTGGTTATCTTTGCAATTGGTTTTCTCCTCTTCAATGACTAGAGTAAGTAAATACAAAATGCCACGAATGCATCTCTCCAAAAAGGTTTGTCTGCAAGACAGAAAAAAATATATTAATATATTAATATTTACATAGTAAACAAATACGAGCCTCACACAGATGTTTTATGTTTCTTACCTGTTAGAGGATATATCGTTCCCTTCAAGAATAAGGGTTATGTGGTTAACTTTGTGAAGAAACCTGTTGACCTCAGTAATCCCAAATCCGACTTCAGACAGCTTTTCATAAACAGGAAGAGAGTAAACAACCGCGCTTTTGACAACAGCCCTGTGAAACATGCAAAAGAAAATGGACGGATCTTTTTTGGTTTAAACCTTTAAATCATTAACATTGCTTTGGGTATTAAGTTCTGTCAGATGTTTATTAAATATATCTCCATGTTTGTCTAATTCATCTGAAACAAGCTTTTGAAACACGAACTGCATGAACATGAAATGTTAGATATGTGGTTACATATTCATTTACCATAAATAATGTGATGAAACAAAGTTTCAAATGAGATTTACCAGTTGGACTGATTGAATCTGTCCAAACCAAGAGCTGCATTTCCACGATTATAATATTCCTGGGCCGCGGCCTCAAAGAATTTACCAAAATGAAGTTCAGTCCAACT